ATATTATGAAGACTGAGACCACCGAGAAATTTAAGTTTTAGGAGCCTTTATTCTTGGCCAGAGACTGCCATCCTGGCCAGGAACTGCCGGCCCTGCCACTGGCAGGGAGCCCTTTGGGCCACAGCCCCGGGAGATGAGGGGTATTGCAAAGGAGGAAGGGCTGCAAGGGTTGCTATATTCCTTCACCAGCAGTCTGTCAGCCGTTCACAGAAGCAGAGCAGTGTGTCTTTTGTTAAATGTAACCACATCCTTGTTTTTCACTCTGCTCTATGGGGTGGGTGAGGCAGGCCTATGGAATGCATTTTAGCCTAACATACCCCATTTTTCTTACCTGTTTTAGTCCATCACATTCCCCACTTTCTTTTTCGGAGATTCAAATCTTTGAATCTGTTTATGATACCAGAATGGGACAATAATGGATACTTACAATTACTAACTGTTAAACTAGTTTTCTTTAGTTTTTCCTTCACCTGTAACCTCTTTTTCAGTTGTTTTAAACTTTTTTTTTTATCACCCCAGACTGTTTGTTATAAAAACTGAAAGCTTTACTCAATGTCAAACATAGACCTCTCTATTTTAAGAACAAAAGATTTAAGCCTCTTCTATTTTGTTTTCTCTTTGCCTCCCTCCCCAGAGTAACAGTGCATTTCAGGGAAGATGTGGGTTAAAATCCAAAAGTGTGGGGGAAACCCAGGTTCTCAAACAGCTAGGACTTACGTAGGATGTTGTGCTGTTTGTCAGTCTCAGTGGGGGTCGTCCTTTTTCCCTGGGTGTGATGAACCCAACGCTGCTCCCCAGCAACTTGACTATAGTTGGCATAGTAAGGATGACAGGAAAATGACCAGCCTAAAGGGTCTCCAGCGAGGCAGGCTCATGCTTTCAGATTCGGATCAAGTCCCCAGGCTGGAGGTCACCAGCGGCTGTCAGCTGGGTTGAAGACCTTAAGGCTGGCGAGCTTCCCGAGCTTCCTGGAGAAGGTGTTGTGTCCTTTTGCTGATACCTGTAGGGCTTGTAGGGACTTCAAAAGGGCATGGCTAGAAAGTTTCCCTTTTATCTCCTCATCCCTCTTGGGGACAAGTGGAGGCAGCCCTCCAAACATTATTTTAAAGGGGGTTAACTCCTACACATAAGGGGTATAACGCACACGCAGAAGGGCAAAAGGAACTTCTTCCCCGGTTTTTGCCAGTCTCCAACTTCAACTTGGTTACAACTTAGGGACTTCAAAAGGGCATGGCTAGAAAGTTTCCCTTTTATCTCCTCATCCCTCTTGGGGACAAGTGGAGGCAGCCCTCCAAACATTATTTTAAAGGGGGTTAACTCCTACACATAAGGGGTATAACGCACACGCAGAAGGGCAAAAGGAACTTCTTCCCCGGTTTTTGCCAGTCTCCAACTTCAACTTGGTTACAACTTTTTAAAGCATTCTATTTATTTTTTCTACCTGTCTTGAATCCTGAGGCTGACAGACACAGTGACGTTTTCCATTTTTAAATATTTTGCCAATAATTGAGTAAAATGGGCGGTGAACGCTAGGCCACGGTTGGACCCCAGAGTTACTGGTAACCCAAAGTGTGGGACAATTTTAGACAATAAATTTAAGCAACTACCTGTGCTGTCTTGGACTTGGTGGGGTATGCCTCCGACTAACCAGGAAAATTATCTATGAACACCAGCAGGAGTGGTGCCCAGCCGCCTCGTGAGGGAGCTTGGTGAAGAGCTCCCAGTGTTCTCCAGGGATGTGTTCTCAAAGCCTGGCCCCATGGTACGGGGGAACTGACTTTCCAGGGTTTATTTGAGCACAGATGTGACATCTTCTGGCTGTGTCTTTGGTAATTTTTGTCAGTCAAGGAATATAATAGTCTCTCTTGAGAAGTTATATTACCTTTGTTTGTCTAGATGAGTGTTCCGATGGAGTAGGGAGATGAGCCCTGTGCTAGAGCATCTGGGAGGAGTCGCCCATCAAGAAGCTCTTTCCATCCCTCAGGCTGGTCTATGGCACGTAGGGCATGGCCTAATTCTTCTTTCTTCAGGAGTGAATCTGGACTTTTTGGCAAAGGTTGGAGGAGGAAGCATGGGGGTATTTGCGGGGACCCCATTGGCTTTAGGACAACATCTATGGCTACCCTTTTTGCACAGGCAATTTGGCCATCTTGATGTCATTGAGTCTAGCCTCTTGGATGAGTAGGCCATAGGCCACTTTCATGGTCCCAGAATTTGCATTAGGACCCTCTTCTTGATGCCCTTTGACTCAGCCACGTACAGTTGGAATGGATTTGAGACATCAGGGAGGCCTAAAGCTGGGGCACTCACCAAAGCAGTCTTCAAGGCCTGGAAGGCTCGTTCCTCTACCTTCATCCATCTCAAGTCTGGATCATTTCCTCCCCCTGTCATGGCATAAAGGGGTCTGGTATTTTTGAAAAGTCTAGAATCCAGAGGTGGCAGTATCCCACAGCACCAAGGAACTCTTGCACCTGTTGCTTTGTGGTCAGAGTGGGGATGGTCAAGATGGCTTGGATGTAGCCTGAAGAGAGAGTCTGCTTACCTCTCTCCAGGTTGTAGTCCAGATATGTGGCCTGAGGGGTCAGAGATGGGTCTTCTTGGCTGAGGCCTGATACCCAAGGTCTGCCAGAGTCCGCAGCAGGGACGGTGTGGCCTGGAGGCATTGGTGCCTTGACTTGACCACCAGAAGGAGGTTGTCTACATTTTCCCCAGACTGGGGTGCCTTAGTTTTCCGCTTGACGGTTTCCTTGATGTCCTTGTCCCTGGAGAATGTCTGTCCCTGGGGAAAAGGGGAATATCTGTCTACTTGATTTTTTTCTCATCTTTTGAATTTGGACAGTCTCACTGTCCTCTTGGTTATTGAAGACTTTCTGAGCTACCTCCACGAGTTTGAAAACACTTTTCCCTCAAACTCCACTAACTCTTGTATTTTTCTTCTAATGTCTGGGGGCCAACTGGGTCACAAACACGATGCTCATTGCTCGCCTGTTCTCTGGAGACTCCGGGTCTGTGGAATGTAGCGCCAGTAGGCCCCAAATAGTATCTCCAGGAAGGCAGCGCACTACTCTAATCCCTCTCAGCAGAGTCTGGCAATACCGATTGAGAGCCTCCTTACCATAATTCGTGTTGATCTCCCCATCTGGACCCAGACCAGGTTTTCAGGATTCCACCCCGATTTGTTCTCTTTCCTGTGATGTGAATAAGGTCTGGAGGAGTTGCTGACAGTCATCCCAGGTTGGCTGGTGGGTAAAAAAGACAGACTCCAAAAGAGAGATGAGTCCCTGGGGGTTTTGCAGGAAAGAAAGGCTTTGATTTTTCCCATTTTACAGGCACTAGTTAAAAAAGGAACATCGATTATAAATGAATAATTCTGAGTTTTTCCAAGACGTGTTACAATTCTTTACCAGATAAGAATGATCTAACAACACAAACCACTTTACTCTTTAATTCTTACCAAAGCTACTGCATTCGTGTCTTAAAGTAGTCCATCTGTTTTGCTGCCTGCAGCCAAAGGTTTTCATGGGCAGCAGCAACATGAATTTCCCTGTCATGATAGTACACAGGTCAAAGTGCATACACTCTATAGGGTAGGGTCCTCGCCTGGTAAACGCAACACAGAAATGGTGGGTGAGCAGCACCCGATGGGGCTCCTGCATAAGCAGGATGAATTTTCCATTTGATTTCATTGATACACACAGAAAGAAACTGGCTCCATCAGGCCTGCTTCTAGGCCTACACTCTAAGAATTCAGCTAGAGACCTTTGGCCCTCCAAAGTACCTGATTCAGCCCCCCTCCATTCTCACCTTTGGGAGATGGCCATAAGTTTTGTTCTGTCTCAGTGAATGGTGCTATATCAAAAGGAAGAATTTTTGTTACTCTAGAACTGAGCAGTTTAGACACTTTTAAATGCATTCATTTATTTGTTTAGTTTCTATGTGGATTCTCTTTCATACAGCTTAGATTAAATCCTCTCTAGCAATGTAATTACTGATATCTGTCTGAGCCCTCTGAGATCAGATTTGAGATTTATTTGAAGGGAGGGAGCCAGATATGAGACCCTTTGTTGAGTCTCACAGAAAATTTCATACTTTGCTTTGAGGGCAAGGCATTTGTTTGGTTCTTTGTCGGATGAATCAGGCAGATTTCAGATGGGAATTTTCATCCAAGGACAGGCAACCACTTTGGGTCTCATTGAACTAGATGGATCCAGATTTTCACGTACAGAATTTGTTCTGGATGACTAGGATTTCCATAGACAATGTGTCAGACTCATTGCGCTGTGAATAAATCTGAAGTCCCCTCCAGGGGCCAGCCCACCCCAAAGGTTGGCCATTCTAATTGGCAGAATTTTCCCAAATCAAAAGGGGTCACAGTAAACCCATAATCTTTTCCCTCTTACTTGAAATATTTGAAATAATCCAGAAAACAATCGAGGGGAGTCCGATGTGAGGAAATTCCTTGTTCCATGCTTGTTGCTTGACTACATAGACTTTGACAACAATAAACAACTCCCTGGAGGGTTAATCCACAAAACAAACTAGGGGAGACAACACCAAACAATGATAAACAACACAAGAAATATGACACAAATTGTCCCAAAGAGAAGGCAGAACTGATCGTTGGCCCACGCCCATCACCGTGGCATGGGATGAAACCTAGACCCAGCCTTGGGGAACAATGGGGTGTCCAGATTCTAGTGGGTCTCCTCAAACACAAGGTAGGCAATGACAAACATTTCAGCCCACACTGGCAAGGGAGACTGTGTTGCAGATTATCCCAAGCAGAAAATAACTCCCCCCGTGTCCATCATCATGGCACAGGGTCAATGGTCCTTGCCACCGAATGGGACCAAACTCAGACTCTGGGATGTGGTGCTGTGTCCAGCTCTACCTAATGAGTCTCTCCCTGGGGGCTCTAGGATCCAAGCCCCCACTGTGACCAGTCACTTCCCCGGAGCCCACTGCTCCTTGAGTGAGCTCCTCCCAGGCTCATCCCTGAGTCCTACAGAGGTGGAAGGCCTAGTGGATAGGTCTGCAGAACAAACAGCTGACAAATAAGAAGACAGACGAAGACTCGGCTACTTCAATTTAATTTTAAATTTTGCTTTTACCAGTTGTCGCTGGCCAGAGAGTCCTCAATCCAGGGCCAAGGAATGTTCCTCGGAGGCCTTTCCATACGTGGAAGGAACTCTTCCAATCCCAGACCCGGGAGTGGTCTGGTTCAGTTCAACCCATGCACAAGAGGCCCGCCAGCTAGTGGCTTGGCAAATCTCTGCTCGCTGGACCTGATTGGCCTGTGCCCTTACTGATTGCCAAATCTCAAATACTCTGATTTCCCAGATAGCCCTTTCCACAACAGGAACAGCAATCCGAAGTAGACAGAGATCCCACAAAGATGGAGGATCTTGGTTTTTCCTTCCCCCCAAGTGCCTTCCCGTTTCAGGAACATGGTAGTCTCCCAAAACAAGAGTGCATCTGAGAAACCCTGAAAGCAAGGGCAAAGAGGCGGAGGGAGCAAAGGTGAGAGGACAAAATGCTTGCCCTGCAGTCACTCAGAAAGAAACCAACTAGAAAGTCAAGGAAGATCTGCAAGACCCAGTGGAGCAACACAGCCGAGTGAGGGTCTCACAGCTCTCGGGATCCAACACAGCCTGGAGCAACCTGCTCCAAAAACAGTGACCCCCAACTCCTAGGACAAAGGGACGTCCTGTCCAAATAGACCTCTGTCTCCAGAAAGAGCAAAGAGAGCAAAAAGAGAAACTGAAAGCCGAACTCACTCACCGACAGATGACCAAGGCGAGCTCTGGGCTTCTCCTCTCTGCCCAAGGGTTTGACGATGGCCAGAGTGCCAGCCAGAAAATCCAGACAGAATTCTCAGGGCCCTGATAAAGTTAGGGGATGCCTCCCTGAAACTCCAACCAGACCTCTGCTGGCCCTCAGCCAGGACCAATGCCTCGCACTAAATTAGATACCTCCAGTTGTATCCAGTATCCAGTTGGGGCTTCCAATGCTGTGCTGCGAGATATCATGATGACCAAGACCACCGAGAAATTTCAGTTTTAGGAACCTTTATTCCTGGCCAGAGACAACCATCCTGGCCAGGAACTGCTGGCCCTGCCACTGGCAGGTAGCGTTTGAGACCACAGTCTGGATCCACAGCTTTGTGAGCATTTAAGCACAAAAACCACAAGGGAACATTACACTTCGCAAGGGTTGGGGTGAGGAGTGTTCCAAGGGAGGAAGGGCTGCAAGGGTTGTTATATTCCTTCACCAGCAGTCTGTCAGTAGTTTTCAGAAGCAGAGCAGCGTGTCTTTTGTTAAATGTAACCACATCCCTGTTTTTCACTCTGCTCTATGGGGTGGGTGAGGCAAGCCTATGGAATGCATTTTAGCCTAACATACCCCATTTTCCTTATCTGTTTTAGTCCATCACAATATCAGCCAGTTGAGCAAACCACAAGAATTTATCCTGGCTATCAAGCCCTTGACTGAGAAAAATGAAACTAGATCATGTAGTCTATTGAAAATAATAATAAGAAAGATAGCATTTATGAGGAAAAATGCATACTTCTTTTTTGTTTTGTTTTGTTTTAGAGGTATTTTTGCTATAGAGCACATGCGCTTGCCAGAGACACAGAGAGACACATAGAGAGAAGGCAAAAAATAACTCCCTAACCCCTTAGTGGATGGCCATGCCCCAGTTCCTCCTCCTCCATTCTCCTCCCAGGATTTTGGGCATGCACACACACGCGCCAGGTGTCAGTATCAAGCTGCTGGGATCAGAACTCGAACAGCAGTCAACCATGTGGGAGTTCAGCACCTTAACCAGTACACCACCTGCTGGCCCTAGTACATGCTTCTTTACACTGGGCTTCAGCTGACTACTCATGAGCACTGCATATAGTTTTGCTTCACAGATAGGCACTTACTCATAGGACCCCCAGAACTGGCCTCTTACATGTGAAAGAGAGTGGCTATAACATCTTGCTTTTACTCCCCAATGACACGGCCAGGGCTCTATTCCCTTTCACTGCCAGTATCTTCCTTCCCTTTTCTCTCTGTTGAATTTTGATCTTTTTTTACTCCACCTCCCTAAAATAAGGTTTTTGACAGTTGAAGGGAAATACTGAGAAAGCTAGTTAACAAGGAAAGTGAAAAAACAAAACAAAACAAAACAAAAAAAAACAAAATGGCATCTTCCTCTACTATCTCACCAGCAAGCTGTGGTATCAATCTTCCCATCAAACTTTTACCTCTTAGAGTTCCTCATCCTTCTCACCATGGACCTCTAATGCAGATTTTGCAAAGGATTGTCAAGATAGTCTTCTTTTGGATAAAGCTGAGCTAAGATCCCTAATGCTTAATTAATCATAGGGAAATTGATTGTAACTCTTTGAAAACAAGAGAAATCGGGAACCAGCGTTAGCGTAATGGCTATGTCGCTGGACTCCCACGTAGTTGACCATGGTTTGCGTCCCGGACCCGGTGGCTTAAAACTCACACCGGGTGCGTGTGCGTGCGGGCCCAAGATCCCGAGAGGAGAATGGAGGAGAAGGGATTGCGGCGTGACCATCCCCCCTGGGGGGGTGATTTCTTGCTTTCTGTCTCTATGTCTCTCTCTGTCTGTCTGGCGAGCGCACGCGCCCTATAGCAAAAAAAAAAAAAAACCTCTCAAAAAAAAAAAAAAAAAAACAAGAGAAATCAACCTACTCTCTGGCAGATTTAAACAAAGGAAATTTCCAGAAAGGCTGGAGAATCAGACACAGACAAAGCAAGAATCAAAAGAGACTCGACACAAGGACTACAGCCAAAGCCACACCACCAAACACCAGGTGGGCAGAGCTATTGTTTCCCCTTCTGCTGAAGACTAGGAGCAGCATCTGGTGCCCAAGCCCATATGCGCGGACCTTGTGTACTGTTGCAATGCCGTCACTTAGCCAGTGTTAATGTGTGGTGCCAGAATAAATTCTTACTCCAGATCCAAGGACCAGAAAGGTCACATGCTTATGTGACCTCTCACCTCTAGGGGCCAGAGTAAGAGGGGTCTGGACAGTGAGCATTTAGTAGCAGGAAATGGGGTCTGTCCCTATAAGTTCCATGAGATACAGAATTTCCCATAGGAAGAAGCTTCAAAACCTAAATAGTCAAAGCCTAAATGTCCAGTACAGTGTCATTGTTTTAGGTGACTTGAAGGTTTCATGCTAGTTTCCGCTATTATTTTACTGTTATTATTAGATTAAAAAAATTCCAAACATAGGTCTACAGACTATGAGGTATAACCTGTAAACCAGTTATGAAATCAATTTAGTGAGCTACGAGTAACTTTTTTTTTTCTTAGATTTTTGCTATAGGGCATATGCACTTGCCAGAGACAGAGAGACAGACACAGGCAGAGGGAAAGTGAAAAATCCCTTTCCAGAAGGATGGCCATACCACAATCCCTTCTCCTCCATTCTTTACTTGGGATTTTGGGCACACACATACACACACACACACACACACACACACACACAAGGGGTGTTTTTCCAGACTCCAGGATGGGAACTCAAGCTGCAGAATCAGCAATGTGGGATTCAGCACCACCAAACCACCTGCTGGCCTGGATAACTTTTATTTTTTAATAGAATATAATGGATAGATATTATCATTGTGAATATCAATGAGTTGTACCTTATAAAATGTTTGTTTCCATTATGTATATGTATAGCTCCATAAAATTTTATAACTATTTTTTAGTAGGTTTTTGCTGACTTAATTTTATGTTTCTAGGATTGTGCTTTAATTTTTTCTACTTTTACTTTGAGCATTTGAATAATCTTTCTATATTTTATGTCAGCTAATTAAACTTATTTGAGTTAGAGTTGGGAATAAATTTTTAAAAATAATTCTAGATACTATATTGACCTATGTATAAATTGCTTATATGAAACCAAGAATATTTTGACCTTCTTCATGATCACATCACAGATTTTTCTCCCCACCCTTAAATCAGTTTTTGCATTTTCATTAAGACAAAATAATTGTGACCATCTGCTCTAATGCATACATCTGACAAATACTAAATGGCTAAATAGAATGTTGTGAAAATAGATTTTTATTTTATAGGTTACTACAATAGGCTTAATAGATTTTATTCTTTTAAACTAGGGGTTTGATTGCATAGAGGTAGAGAGTGAAAGAGGAGAAACTGTGAAGGCTAAAGGGAGGGGAGAATAGGAAGAACTTTGTTAACAGATACAAAATTGCAAGTAGATACAAAATGAATTCTAGATTATTATAGTATAGTAGAGCTACTAGAGTTGGTGACAACTTAATGCATATTTCAAAATAACTGGGAGACAAAATATCTGATGTTTACCTCAGAAAAGTCAAGATAAACGTTTGGGATGGTGGTTATGTCTATTGACCTGTTGGATCACTAGACATTGCATTCATGTAGTAAAAAAAAAAAAAAAAAAAAAAAAAAACAAAACACACACACACACACACACATAGTACCCCATAAATTCATACAGCTATTGTATGTTAATTAAAAATTATGTTACAAAACAGCAGTTTATGGTAATTTTTAAGTTTTATTCCCACAACAGCATTGGTAATAAAATAAATGTAATCATTTTCCTGTGAAAGCAAGTATATTACATAACAAGAGGCTTTGTTGACAGGGCCTCATGTCATGATCCTCCTGCTTTAACTCACTGAGTAGCTGGAATCACAGATATGTCCCCATCACACCTGGCTCTTGTAGGGTAGGCCAGGAATTGAACCCAGAACTTCTATAGATATGTGGCCTCAGCCTACCAGGCAGCATCTTATCAGCTTCTGCCACCGTGATTGGACCAACAACAGGCTTTATTACTCCCGCTACACAGTGTATATTAAAGATAATTTAAGGCCCTGCCCCATGGCCTGGTGAATAAGGTAGATGGATCCCACATGGCCATCTCTGTGGCTTGAATCTGAAACACAGCAGGCATGTGTGCATGCATAACCAAAATCAAAAAGGAAGAAGTGGAGGAGAAAAGTTTGTGACATGACTATTCTTTGTGGGGTGGACAGGGGAGTGCTTTCACCTCTCTCATTCTCTCTTTCTCTCTGTCTCTCTCTGGCAAGCACTCAGACTTGTAACAGAAAGCAGAATCACTTGAGAAAACTGAATTATTACTGTACTAGGCAGAGTATTTGTTTGTTAGAGAGGAAATAAAAACTTATCCTAGATGTTACTCCAAATACATACTTGGCTTCAGTTTGATTATCCTTGAATTTTAGAAGTTGGACAAATGTCTTGAGACATCCTGCATTAAACAAGGATAATTGCTATGTATGAATTATTTGCCTGAAGTGATCTTGTTTTTTTTTTCCACCTCACATGGAATTTACTATGCATCAAGTAATTAAATAATATATCT